CTGCTGATTGCTGCTCCCTGACGCCGTGGGAGGGTGGTGAGCTGGGGTGGAAAAGGCTGGACAAGCCCTGAGCTCCGGGGAGAGACACAGCTCTGGGACTGTACATGGAATCACCGAGTGGTTTGGGTTGGAAAGGACTTTGAGATTATCTAGCTCCAGCCCTCCTGCCATGGGCAGGGATGCCATTCACTAGATCAGGTTGCTCAGGGTTCTATCCTGCCTGGCCTTGAACACTGTCAGGGATTTGGGCAACAGTACATGACTGCTGTTGAGCACTGGGAAGGCCAAGCTCATCTGCTGAGGACTTGTATTTTTTCGTTTCAGCAGTTAGTAAGTGTGGCTCTCTGTTAGTGGCACAGAGGTTTAAACTATGAATGAAATAAAGATGCTCTGTTCCTTAAAGCTCAAATTTCTTTACACTGGTAATTGTTTTTAATTAACAAGTCAGACATTCTTTAATAAGAATACTGCCAGTGCAACAGGTGGAAAGTACACAAATTGGTCTCTGCTGGATGGTGAAGTAATGTGTTGGTTGGATCATCCCAGTCCCCGGAGAGGAGCACACTGGTGGCAGCACTCAGAAGAGCATGGTGGCACAGGCTTCCCACTATGCCTCGGCCAGCCTGGGGCTGCTCCAGTGCCCTGGGCCCAGGGCAACTGCAGTGTGGAGGGCAAGGGCACTCCACATCCAGCAGAAGTCTCCCCGCCCTTGGTGTGTTTCTGCACAAGAGTCAACTGGAGCTACTCTCAGGAGCGTGAATGCTTCTTATTTTCTGAGCAAGGGCATCTACCCACTTTTTTATTATATCACCGAAGGGGAAGGATATGTTCCTCATGTCATAGGCTTCTTCTATGCTTGGAAATTAGCTAAGGGTCTTGGTCCTTTTACAGAGGCAAGGTTCATGGACACAGGAGAAAGAGGAGAAAACAATGGACCTAAATCCAATTTTTAGAGATACATCCCATTGATGAGGTAATCAGATTCTTCAGATGTAATGGGTCGAGCTTTTTTAAGCTTCTGTTTCACTAAGCGCAGTCGGCAAGCAACCATAAGCAGCAGTAAAGCAGTAATGGCCAAGCCTAAGGCTAAGGGTAACACAGCACCTACAATGAGGTGAAGAGAAATGAGGTTTTATTTAATGTGGTGAGACACTGGTAGAGAAAACCTGAAATATTTCTTTAAAAATACAGACAGTCTATCACTTAGGTGCTAATACTCGCAGCAATTCACACTACAAAACTAAACTGTATCATGCATGTTAGGAACAGGTCAGAACAATGAACTTCACATTATTAATCTCTTGACCATTATATCTGTATCTACAGCTCTTGACTGAAAGACCAGTGTTGTTCAAAATGAATTCACATGGTTGGTCTTACCTGTTTCTGGGACTGGACGACCACCTCCAAGCTGACCTCTCTTTGGCACCATTATGCCATTCTCGTTTTTATCATCTGCTCTTTTCCCTGAGGAACTGTTATCTGCACAAAGCCAAGCAAGATATATGAATATTGCAGTTCAGTGACTCAGGAAGTCTTATCCACAGGACACTAGAAATAAATAATATGAAGCACTTAAACTTTGGGGAAAAAGCCTCAAATGAACAGCAGTTGAAGAACTTTTAACCTCAACTGTATAACTTGAATTTTTGAAGTAATGTGAAACTAAAGCTAAAATGTAAATTCAATTTTGCATCCTGAACCACAGTGTATCTCAACCAAACCCAAGCAGAGTCATTTTCCACCTGGAAAAAGAGGGATATAAATTCTGTTTTATAAACTTCCACAATGAGGTACAGACCAGTCTGAGCTAAAACTTTGCTAAAGCAGTTTCTATATAGTTGAAAATTAGGCCATTTCAAGCCCTATTGATCTCTATCCTTGGAACTTGCAAAGCAGTAAATGTTGGTTGCCTGATGCATACAGATGCAGAACTTAAGTACTTGGAAGACATCAAAATACACGGGGAAAACATTTCAAAGAGGATAACTTGGGGTGACTGCAGCTCGTGTAGTAGGGAAGATGCTACAGAGCACTGTAACTACTCAAGAAGAGACAACGCATACTTTGCTGCCAGGAACTGTTCTTGGGAATGCAGGTGGTGGCAGTTCTGCTTCACAAAAGCAGAGTAACTCCCTCCTCCAGTCCTCCCACTTAAGTTCTACTCTGATAGCTATGAGGACACTGTGCAAGAGTGACAGCTTAATCCACCAACACCCTCACAGAAATCAGTGATACGCCTATGTTTTAAATGTCATGACTACATTTGAGTTTTACTGATAACACATATCACAGGGTGCTCTGGCTGCACTGCAATATAGTTGCTGGCAGCTTTCAGAACTGTGGCAGAGCCACAGAAACACACTGTGCTACAAGATCTGCAAAATACGAATGTGAAAGATTGTAATTGAAATTGTATATAGTGGTGGGTGCTAAGGCTTTAAGTCAATTAGCTTGGATCGTGCACTATGTGTAATTCCCACCCACCACCACCAGCTCTGAGGAGCCACAGAATGTGTCCCTGTCACAGTGGCAGCAGCAAATACATGACTATTAATTAAAGCTTAAATTGTTTCACTGACACTGTCATGAGGTCAGTGCCTCACTCCAAGGCAGAACAGCCTCCCAGGCTCTGGCTTTATTGCCCTGCCATTATGGCTAAGGGGGGATGATGACACCAACTTCACCTGCAAGAAATGCCTTAGAAACAAGCCATGGCCTCCTCCTCAGTTAGGCTCTTTATGCTGTTCTGGCATGTAAAGGGGACTTAAGGAAATCCTAAGTGTAGACTGTACTGACTGTCAAGTACCTGTATGGTACCACAGCTCTGCAAGATAATCTGGATGTAACAGACCAAAACCAGCAGCTGTTTTCTGCTTTTTTTCCCTCATGAATGAAATTAAATTAATAGTTCTCTTTATTTTGGAAACACACGAAAGACATTGGCTCTTCTTAAGAGCTGCTCCAGCCTGCATGGCAAGGTTTTATAAATTTGTTTCCCTGCCATTTCAGTAAAGGGAATATTTAAGTCAACTGCTTGTAAAGACATTTGGCAAATATGGAGAGAGGTTCAGTGGGAAAATTTTTGAAGGCTAACAGAACAACAGAATAAAATACAGCTTGTAGAATTTTGTTAAGGCTTGTGGCTGTTCTTCCATGACTGGAGAGGCTATCAGAGTCAATGCTGCTCAACATCTTATCTGTTATCACTAGAAAACAAAGAGCAGCTTCCCCAAACAGGTTTAGGATCAGACATAAAGCACGTTATGCAGGTTTCATTTCACTTTCTCTTGATTTTTTAGTCTGTTCCTAGGAAATTGTAATTTACAGCCCTTTCCAATTACCCTCAATTAGAGATCTTGGTTACAGCTACTGCTGTTGATGCCTCTGCAGTAAAAACATGACTAAGGCTTGGGCACTCAGTCAAATGTTGTAATCCCAGCCCTGAACAGCACTGCACAACAGCTGGCAGAGGCAGCCTGGGAGAGGCAGAGACCCTGTGCCAGGGGAATGCAAAGCTGTTATGGTGATTTATACACTTGAGTTGGCTGTACTGGGGAGTGCAAATCTTCAGGCTGCTCATGAATTCAACCCGTCTGCAGGACTATGTTTGCTACTGGCTATTGCCACTGCTCACTCCAGTGCTTTGCTGCAACTGTATGTCTGCTATATTCATCTGCAAGTGCAGCAGTGCCAGAATATGCAGCTGGGCTTAAGGACACTGGGGCTGGAGAAGGACACTGGGGCTCTTTGGAGGCAGCCATGCAGAAATGCTGTGCTGGCCTTTGGAGATGCAGTCTGGGTTCCTTTACCATGGAGTCATGTCTGCAGAGAAAGGACTCCTTTATTGACATCAAATGCCTCTTCCTGCATCCGCTCCCAACTTTGGAAGAAAATGTTTGGCCTTCCAGCTTGGGCAAAAGTATGGCATGAGTCTGTTGCAGAAGACTTTATGCCCTGAGTGTCTGAGGAGGTTATCACAAAGTTGGACTTGGTGTTCCCCTGGAGTCATCCTGCTGTAGAGGAATCCCACTGGAAAGGCAGGAGTGCAGAAAAACATTCATTGTCAACAATGAATGACTTTTGGGCTTTGTTTTGGTTGGTTGGTTTTGTTTCTCTCTTTACTGTGAATAAATCCCCTGCTAGGTCAGGCAGAAGTTTTGAATGGTCCTTCACTTGCACCTGCATATTTTCATATTTTCATACTCTAGTGTAAATCCTTTAAAAGTCTGTATGAAGTCAGAGCCAAAGAAGAGGGGCTACTGGGGTAAAGAAGGCAGGTTAAGAGAAATCTGGAACAGAGAAACTATTAAGAGAAAATAGATTCTGGGACAAATTTCCTGCAGTATCACCCTCATAGGCAGACAGCTCATATTCCTGCTACCAGGAACTATGCCACACTCCAAAACATTACAGCTTAGCCCAACTCCTTTTAAAATGGAGAGAAGATAAATATGGTGGTAGGTGACAAGGAGATCCCTTTATTGGACATCTTTACTGGATTCTGAGAGATGAAGGCTGTTTATGGAGCAGTAAGTAGCAGAAGGGACAACATACCTTTCTTGGTACTGTAACCACCACTGTGATAAAAACAAATGTAAAAAAGAAGACAAAGCATCTCCCCAGTCCTGCAGCTTCTTGGGAAAAACTTCTGTTCTCTAAAAGTCAACTGAAAGCTCCTGTATCAAGCATTCAGCCTAGCAGCCACCTAGAATGTGCCACACGTTGTCTACAGTAGGTAACCCTTTCTCTTATTCTGCCTTGCAGTCACTGGATTTAAAAGCATCATGATTTCCTTCCTGGATTATATTTCCATGACAACCTGAAAGTGTCAACTAAGAAATAAGTCAAATGTAGCCCTGAATGGAGCACTTGCAAGTAAAAAGCTGGAACCTGTGCTACCACTGTAAAGCCATACCCCTTAATATGTATCTTAAGTTGACAGCTTTTCACCATATTGACATTAAAATCATTAAAGCTTATCTCTAAAATGTCTGTATAATAGTATAAAAGAAGCCTGGATGTTTGCAAAGCCAAGTCTAGGCCAACAAGTGACATTATTGCCTTGGTCCAACAAAGACCATTTCAGTGTGGCTCAGAGGCACAGGTTCCACCTTGGCACCAGCAGCAGGCTCAGCACTGTCTCAGGACTCCCAGACAGGATTTCTGCCAGTGGAATTACTGAAATGTTGAGGCTGCTAGTATGATATCCGTTTAGTGCTGCCTACCTCTCCTCAAAAATGCATCTAGCTCTCCTGAACACTTTCCCAGAGAGCTTCATGGAGCTGCTCCAGCATTTCTGTGTCTCTCATTTTTGTATCACACAATTATTAGATTTGGTCTGTAACCTCTTTGAGATGGCAGTGATAGAGAGAAGTCTAATTGATGGATCTGGGTGGATTTTTAGGAACCGGTTAGATGCTCCTCAACTCCATAAAGGCTGTGGTTGGTGCTTGCCCGTGGGGCAGGACTTGAACCTCTCTGGACCTCTGTGAATCATTAACGTATAGCATGTGACTCCTATGAAGTGTCTGCAGGAGAAGACAGCAACTCAGAGCATTTTTTGGCAGATTTTGGCATTTTCCCTTCGGACTCACACATCTAGCACCTCTCCATGTCCCACCATGTGTGGAACTAATCTGTAGGCATTTTTAAACCTTGCTGAGCTGTTTGCTGCTTTTTTGGTTAAAAGCATTGGGGTCCTGGGTCAGTAAAGACTGTATCCTTCCATTCTACAAGGAAATCCTTAAGTACCTGAAATGAAATTCTGACTGAGCCTTGTCAAAAGAGCAATATTAAAACCAGAAGAATTAAAACCACGCATGGTCAACTAGAAATCTTGCCTGTCTATAATTAAAAAGAGCACAACAGCTACTGGTAGCACACTAATCACTGAAGCCCCATCACACTTCTTTAGTTTTATAAGGATTTTTTTCTCTTCTTGTCTACTGCTGTGCAAAAGGCTACCTTGAGCACAAAAACGGAGCCAGTAAGTCACTGTGCAACATGTAACCACACAAAATGACTTGGAAAAGTGCCACACTTTTACATGTGCTTCCAATTATAACCCCTGATTACAGGTTGCAGAAGTTGGTGGTTTTATGTCTGGATTCACAAGCCCAGTGGTTTTTGAGACCTACTTAGCAGCTGACTTTCCACTGGAGCCTGCAATGCCCTTCGGGAGTCGGATGTTTAGTTTGGGTTGCCCTGGATCAGGTGTCTCTCTGGACTATGTGAACAAGAAGGGTTTGGAGCAGACTTCAGAAATTTTAAGCCATTCCAGTGAGGAGTACTGAAGTCATCTACACTGCCGGAAACGGAGAAAACATTTGAGAGAGAATTTTACTGTCAGCCCCTAGACATTCACTGAAGCAAACTCTTGAAGAACGCTGGTTTTGCTCCCTTTGCAGTCTCCAGAGATGAAGCACAAGTATCTGAAGAAACATCCAAGTGCCAAGTAGGGCAGTGCCTTTTACACGAGCGGGCAGCAGAGGGCACTGAGCACTGCTCTGCTGTAATTGGAAAATAAAGCTGGTTATAAATAGCTGCATCTTGGGGCACACGAATCAGTCTAAACCATGAAGAAATAAAAGTGGGAGGTCTTGTACTGACTTTAAGCTCTTTGCACACAGTTTTGCTTTCACATAACTGCCATTTCAGATCACCAGCATGAACATTAAAAGACACACCAATTTCACTGCAGCTTCTGGAGCTTTACCAAGGCCAGGGTTGGAGACCCTGCCTGTAACATCACTATGCACTGACACACTACAGGCTTGCAGGCACTGTGGAGAACAATACTGGGGACCTAAAGTTGCTTGTTACCAAAGGCTGAGCCTTTTCTGTAGTGACGAAAGACTTCTCCAGAAAAAAATGCCCACAATAATCAAGATATTACCTCAAGGGGAAAAGCAAAACAAAAACAAACAAGCAAACAAAAAGTCAAAGCACCAGGAAAAAGCAATTACTCTCACCCAAGTTGAATGGTATTTTATTACATTCTCCTGAAGTATATCCCTACAGATTTAAAGAGCCTTAATACATCAGCCTACACAGCTGAACCCGTGGCAGAATTTGTATTTAGTTCACTGTACAATTTGTTCCTTAGACTGCATTATTTTCCTAGCAATCCTACATATTAATTTCTTTCTGCATCTGGTAAATTTTTACCTTTGCAAATTTTCGGTCTTAGCCAGGCACTAAAAGACAATTTAAATAAATTTAAGGTGCAAGACACTTTCTTTCTTCAAAGAGAATGATTTATTGAAACTGACTTGTTTCAATTCTTACCTGGCACAAATCCACTGATTTGTTTCTTTGGTCCCTGAGAAAGCGATTGGTTAGACATGTCTGCATCCTCTGAGAGAAGGGGTTGATTTCTGGCAGTGGCTTTCAGGGTGTTTTCTGCAGAGAGGCTTTCATCTGTGTTTTCGGTCAGTTCCACAGTCCTTTGCTGGGTAGTGCCAAGAGCTGCATGTGTCACCGTCTTCCGACCTGGGCTGACTGTTAACGGAAACAAAAATCATAATTTTTGTACTGAATTGAAGGGAATGGGAGTGTTCCTAGGGAAGACCCTCCAATACAGGCCTTGAGGCAGGCTGAACAACTTCCTCAGCTTCACACACATGATGAAATGTGACTTCCAGATACAAAGCAAGTTAGGGTTGCTCACTGCCAACTCTTAAGCAAGAGTACACTCATGAACTCTACAGAACTCCAGCAACTAAAACATCAATGAGCGAGCCATTGTGCCCACTCATTTTCTGATGACTTCTGTTCACTTAGCTGAGCATGGGCAGATACTGAGGGATGACTAAAAAAAATGAACAGAGTGATGGCGAATCAACTGGTTCCCCTACATACTCAGTGTTTCAGATTCTTGTAAGGTGTGTAATGGCACTTTCAAGTCTACCTCTGAGACACCCTTTCAGATCAAAACCAGGGTTCTTGTTTCCAGAATCATCATGCAAGTGAAAAACCCAATATTTTAAATGTTGAAGACAAAATTTGTCATTTGGGGACCCTTGACATTTTTAATATGCTTTGAAGAAAGTTTCTGAGCACCTGCTGTATGTGGATGTTAAACCTTCCCATGTGCTAACTCCAATGAAAGGCTCTATGGTGGGAGGCAGCTGCTTGGTCACAGGGAGAGAGGGCACAGAAGGGGCATCATTTCCCTTTGGTCATTCAGGCTGTGATTACTCGCACGATCTCCACTGTGGCCTGGCACACTTACGATTCTGGCAGAAAGTTTCATCTGATCCATCAGGGCACTGTCTCACACCATCACAAGCAAAGGTGATGTCAATGCAGCAGCCATCATCACAGATAAACTGGTAGCGAGAGCAAACTCCCACACAGGCTGTTGAGAAACAATTCCCAAATTACCAAAAAGAGAAATCCAAGTAGTAAATACCAAGTCAATGACTAAAATCTGCAGTATCAAGGAAAAAGCAAAACAATGCTATGTCAAGAAAGACCATGAACAAGGCAGAAAGTTGAAGAAAGGCTCAGCTATGTGATGTTATATTAACATGGAAGCTAATATAGGTAACAGCTGTTCCTGGCAGCCTCATCACTATTCTAGCAATCTCTTTACTACAGGAATAGTCAACTTCGAGGCTGTTGCACCTTACACTTTGTGCAGCAGCCTTACAGAGCTTTAAATTCTGCTGGCCTAGGCTGAAAGCAGATCTTCCCAGGCTTAAATGACCCAGGACAGTCCTGAAAGTAAATAAATGAAATCTCTATGGCTGTAACTGCATCCCTCCAACATGTAATTCCTACTACATACCCATTCTGTATTTCTGACAATATATTGTTTTACATGCATACATATGGACTATAAGGGATCTTTATGGCATGTTTACTGCAACATAATTAAAATACTTTAAAAATCCTCATCATTTATTTACATCAGCAATCCACTGACTTCAGTAAAGCACAAACCAGAACAGGACTAGCACAAGGTCTCACAAAGGACCTTCACCAGAAAGCTGCTGCTTGCTTTAATATTTAGATTCCCCTGGAAATGGAGAGTGTCCCAGGACATTTCATTTTGCATACTCAAAGCTTTCCTGAAACCCATTCTGATCCTGCAATTACCAAGTGTTTACCTCTATGCTTTTGTCTGCCCAACAGCAGTGCAGTTCATCGCTTTGTAAAGCACTATCAAGTTCAGTGTTTGACTAATGTTGTAACAGCAAATCGATTTGCATGAGGGAGGCACAGCCTTTGGTTGTTATCCTGCTACATACCAAAAAGCTGCACAATGCTAAGGGAAGTATGCCAGGAACACAGACACCTGTTAAAAACCCCTACGATCAGAAAATGCATCACCTAACCTTCAGCACTAATAATAGCACAGACCTTGCATGCATTAAGGCACCAGGCACTGGTTTAACTATAGCAGGAGCACTTGAATTGCTAATGTAGTTGGGGAATTAGAAAAGTAAAATAGGCAGCTAATTTTCTACATGCTCCATACAAAAGATACCCCAGATACCCACAGCAGAAAATAAATAATCCAGCAAATGTCTCTTTAGCTGCTTTACCTGAATTAAACAATAATGAACATGACTCTATCATCCATTACTGGAACACAGGCATTATGAAGCAGGTTTTTTAGTAACACTAGTTTATTGCCACAGGGACTGTGCTCTCATGTAAAGATATTGCACTGGTGCAGAGCAAGGTTTCCACTGGTTCAGCTGAACATGGTGATAATGCTATTAAACTTTTACGTGGTGCCAGAGCAGCAGATCTTGTTAATTACCACGTAATTAGAAATTATTATGTTAAAGAGAGGAGGATTGAGAGCCACTGATTACCTTCCATGCTTTTCATATGTTTTTGGAGCTCAGAGTTTAAAAATGATGGGTCAATTCCAGTTTCAGTTTCTGCAGCAGCAGAAAAACTTAAATGCATGAAAACAAGAAGCCATCCCATCTTTTAGACTGCAGATGCAGGTCAATATCATTATTATATGCCTCACACATACTATTAACTGATTTTAACTGGATCTTCCCTACAGGACAAGGCCTGTCACGTTGCCTGCACCGTCTGACTGTTACAACGTGACTGATACCTATGGCAGCATTTAATTTTTGCAACCCTGCATGCTTATTAGCAATAGAAGGACAAACATTTGATGCTTGAAAGTATTATTGCTCTAACAGACAAGTGATGCTCGCTTGTTTCCTCACTTTGAAAGAGTGATTTCAAAGCTGAAAGATATGTTACTATGTAATGAATAAGGGCAAAGTAAAACACTAGAAATGGAGGGTAAGATTTTTGCCTCCACCAAGACCCTGGCTCTGCTCTGAATACCATACCCTGGGTATCACAGAGGCAAGAGTTCCAGTCTTTTTCTCACCTACTGCAGAATGAACCATGGGCAGAACGGTCACAGAGACGTTGTCAGAGCTCCGCTGACCTGCTGTGTCTGTCACAGTTAGCTGGAAAATGTACCTGCCTTCCTGAAAGTGGGACAGTTTCAGTGTTCCTGGTTGTGGCACCTGATTAAAGACACACAGCAAAAAAATCCATATTGGTATAAAAGATCCATCCATAAGCTTCTAGGAATAGGGAGCTCATTTCTGTACAATGCTATTCATGCAGATTTAATACTTCTCTAAAGCGTTTGTCAGAAAGGGACTTGTGAGTGGTGGTGGACAGCAGCTCAGTAGGAGCCAACACTGTGCCCAGGTGGCCAAGAAGGCCAATGACATCTTGGCCTGTATCATGAATAGTGTGGCCCGCAAGACTAGAAAAGTGATCATCCCCCTGTACTCAGCACTGGACACATATATTTAGCTCAGTTTTTCAGTAGAAATGCAATTTCAGAGGGTAAGCAGTAAAATATTAGCCTTTTGCTCTCTGTCAAGTTAAGTCTGTAGACAACACACGTGTATCCACAGAAGTGACTTTTGCTAAATATAGATTTATGATAAGGTGCGTGGTAGCATTGCTTTATCAACAAGACTGCCCACTCCTGACCAGCATGACATTGGATGTGGTCACTTCCAACTTTTGCAAATTGCTGGACTGAATTTTTCCATGCCTTGTGCTGAATTTTCATGGCTCGCTCTGACCCAGAAAGAAGTTCATCTATAGTGAGTGACCTAAACATTATGTTTCAGAAAGTCATGGGGTACAAAACCTTAAAATTGGATTAGATCATTAAGAAATTAATAAAATAGCTTATTTTACATTAATTTAAAGCAGGTACCAAACTACCATTACTAGTACAATAGTAATGTAAAGTTGCTTTGTATAAAATCAGTTTGGTATTTGTAAATGTTGAACTTTTTTCAACACCATAACAATCACCAGTCACAAATAACTCCAGCTGTCTGAGAATTCATCAACACAGACTTCAGTAACTACAAAAATGTGCTGCAGCTTTGTTGGACAGGTAGTGCATTTTTTCAAATGAAGCACATGAGGCTATTTTTATAGGTAATTGAAAGGCATATTAAAATCTTCTGTGATTATCTTTAATATTAAAGCCAAAATTCAAAAAAGCTCTTTGCTTATTTAAAATTGCTTTTCGTGCCTAAAAGAGAACAGGAATTTTTGATTAACATGATCATAGAGTCCTAGACGTAGCTTTACAGTAGTGTGTTGATAAATCAATTTTTCATTAAGAGACTTTCCTAACTGAAGTTTATTTCCTCTTCTACTTACGTGAATGCACTTGGTTATCTGATCATGCTGTTGATTACCTCCTGATGGAGTGTATGACCCCTTAGAATTTTATTCTTTAGTGTGTTACAGAAATTAACAGCTCTAAAAAACACCAGTTGCTGTTCACTATGACTGCTGGGAGAGGAAATACAGTACTTAAAACTCTATGGGGTCCAAGTCTCTTCTCAGTGCACAGCCAGAGAAATGCCACTGACTTCTGAATACTCCACCACCACTCCTGGTGACCCATGCTTTCCTTTTTATCTCCATCCTGCCCTGAAGAATGCTTGCCTGTACCTGCTTTCTTATAAACTTTGGCTCAAAACAGATAATAAATTTCCAGATAATCATAATTTAAAAAAATCCCAACCCACTACTACCCCTAAGTCTCAAGGAGCTGTGCAGCTACAGCATGTGGGCAGCAATCCAAGATGCAAATTATCTAAAAAGCAATACTCAGTCACAATGGAAAAAAAAATGCCACTGCCTTCCTTCTACAGTATCATAAGATCTCTTTATGGCAGGCCTTCCCCCTCCTCTGCCTTCTATTTATTCCCTGGTACGTAAGTGCAATGGAACAGCTGCCTTTTATCTTACTTAAACACTCCCATTCTCCCTTGGAGCTGTGGATTCATACATTATTCTCAAAGAACAAATGACATGAAATACAGTAACTTTAGGGCAATGACTAAAGCACTAAAAACATCAGCTGAAGAATGCATGAAAAAAATCGCAATTATGAATTTGACACTAAAAATTAATTTATCAGGACTAATCATCAGGGTATATATCTGTAAGAGAAATCCCTGCTCACTCGAACACAATGGGAAAGTATTTATTTAAGCATGAATGTGTGTCAAATTAATTTCCATTAATAAATACAAAGAAACCACCAAGATAAATGTGAATTTTGCAAATTTAAATGGATATAAGACTTGTTTCTATTTTATAGAGTGACTTTGAATAGCAGCAAAAAATATAAACTTTAAATTTCATAATTATTATTTAATTTTTGTCTTACTCTAGATATGTTACTACATCATAGATTCACTTAAAGACTATTTAGCTGCTCTTTAAAGAAAATAATGCTGCAAGGGGTCAGTTTAACAACTCCTGATAATAAAATGTTCATTTTATCCAGATGATATCTAGCAACTATTCTTAAATCTTTGGTTTGGTTCACACTCTCTCAGCTTTACATATCCTTCCAGCTCTAGGTGGAATTCCCAGTGTGCCCTGGATACTGTGGGCTGTGACAGACTATGAGTAAACTCTGTAGGTTTGAGACATTTTTCCTTTCTTTTTCTGCTGATCCTAGAGCATTCACAAAGAAGGCTCGGATGAAGAATCCCTCTCTCAATAGTTAATTTTAAGTTGAAACTGAAGTGTAGCAGAAAATGTATGGATACCATATCTTATGAGGTCTACATCACACATTTTTTGTGGTTTCTCCATAAGCATTAAGAGAGGACTGTTGGTGAAAATACCCTATTATTTTAGCAACTGAATGACTGAGGGGTCTCTAACCTGGATCACAGAAGCTGAAAACCAAGTGCAGTCAGCACAAGCAACGGCAAAAGAAAGCAGAGCTGAAATACAGTAGAGCATTAGCATCTGCCTGTTTGCTGCTGGCTGTCCCATGCCATCCAGGATGGAGATGAGCTGTATAAACCACTAGAAACAATCACTGGAACAAACTCCCTAGGGACATGGTGTACTCTCCTTCACTGGAGGTCTTCAAGGTGTGATTGGACAGATAAGATAATTTCACCTAGGCTCCTTGTCCCACAAAAAATCAGACCACGTGATGTTCTGAGGTCCCTACCAACCTGGGCTGATCTACATTTCTATGAAATAAATGCCCAAGTTGTACAGGCATCCTTATTTTGGTGCCTGGTAGACAGATCCATTTGAATACATTTAATATTTTTAGTTCTACATTTAAAATTGCATGAACACAACAAATGGAAGCAACTGGCCATGCACAAGATGGCACATGTACCTGCATTTCAACTGATGAGTCGCCTTGCAGCAGTGTCCACTCATACTGCACAATTCCGTGGTCATCTGAACTTTCTCGGCCATCCAAGAGCACCCAGTCTACAGGTGACTGCAGCACAATATCCTGTCCTGCCTTGCACTGTGGAGGCTCATCGTATTCTTCTTCTTCAAAAAAAAAGAGAAGACCGGTTATTTATCAGGGGAAGCTCAATGACTAGTTATATAAAAATATATTTTTTCTTGGTTAAGGTATTGATTCACCACTGCGTAATTTCCTTTAAGAAAGACATGTTCATTAGTGCACATTTCATTACGCAAAGTAGTATCTACTTAAATTTTAGTTTACTGTTCCATATTCAATAATGTCTTCAGGAATTAACTGCTACATTAGAAGTACATGGCATAGAAAACCTCTCTGTATACCTGTAAACAACAAGCAGCATTGTTAGCATCAGTGCAGTTTTTAAATCTAAACTAAGAAAATGGGTTTAAATATGAACTTAAATATGAATTCCACACAGATGGCAGTTACAGCACACTTTTTAAAGCACTCTGCATGACTTAATAGGTTTTAGACACTTTCTATAATACATCATTACAGCAGTGAAAGACTTTTACCATCAGCTGGCACCCTGGTGGAGCAGTGCACGTAACAATTAAAATCTTCAGAAGCAACCACCAATTTTAAGTGCTTCATTTAAGACATTCAAAGCTTGATTTTCAGACTATTTAGGATTTGTAGCATTTTTCTAAATTCAAAGTACAAGTCTTACTGATTAAAATTGTGAGTACTAAGTATTTCTGCCAATCAAACCACAACTTTTTCAGGCTGACAAAAAAATCGCATGACATGTTATGACACAGACTGTGAGAAGTGATTTTTGTTCTGCAATCTTCAGGCAGTGTAGG